TACATGTATGGAAAAACATATATACATACATTTTCCATACATGTATTCTTACATATATACGGAAAAACATGTAAGAGAGATATAAAACGATAAAGTGATTAAAAGATTGTAGTACCGGCAAGAAATGAAAACTACTTTCACCCCTGCCCTAACCCCTAAAACCTAACCCTAATCCCAAAACGGTGGAACTGCACATGCGCAGAAAGGCTCGATAGCACGTCTCGATAGGTAGTATTTTTCGACAGAACAGGTTTCGTCCTTGCGCTCTGAAAACACAGCGAATTGGCCTCTAACAAGCCAACATAATTAAACTAGTGATGTCCGGTTCGTGAATGAATCATTCTTTAGAACTGGTTCTTTTCAGTGAATCGGTCGAACCGGTTTTCAGATCTAAAACAACCGGTTGTAAATGTGCCGATCCCAATAGCCTTTTTGATCAGGTTGCACGGGTCCAACTCCTCCAGCATGGCGCATCAATACGTGCCATTGCCAGAAGGTTTGTTGTGTCTCCCAGCACAAGCTCAAGGGCATGGAGGAGATTCCAGGAGACAGGCAGTATATTGGAGAGCTGGACAGGGCCATAGAAGGTCCTTAACCCATAAAGAGGACCGGTTTCTGATCCTTTGTGCAAGGAGAAACAGGATGAGCACTGCCAGAGTCATACAACATGACCTCCAGCAGGCCACTGGTGTGAATGTCTCTTACCAAACCATGAGGAACATTGGGCCCTGTGCTCACTGCAGTGTATGCAGGCAGTTCCTAAAGGATGAAGGAACTGATACCATTGACTGGCCCCCACACTCGCCTGACAAAAATCCACTAGAACACCTCTGGGACATTATGTTTCGGTCCATCAGACACCACCAGGTTGCACCTCAGACTGTCCTGGAGCTCAGTGATGCTCGGGTCCAGATCTGGGAGGAGATCCTCCAGGACACAATCCCTCATCGACCTTGTCAGGCATGCATAGAAGCACGTGGGGGACATACAAACTACTGAGAATGCATGACTTTGAGTTGCTGCAATGAAATTTAGGCAAAATGGACTATAGCCTGCCGCAACATTTTTTCAATTTGATTTTCAGGGTTTCTTAGCATTATGCCATCTGTAGCTTGATTATTTTCATTTCCATCAAACGATGTGACATCCTTTAATTTCTAACACATTATCCACTGCATGTCAGTATAAATAGCCAGCATGATTTTCCCCATTGAGGTCTGATGTGTTTTCAAAGTGTTCCTTTCATATTTTTGAGCAGTGTACGTTCACAAGACTATAATCAATATTTTAATGAAAATAAAATTTTAATAAGCATGCAGTTTCATTTAAAGTACCGGGTTTACCCGAATATAAAACTGTTTTGGTTTTTTTTTTTCAAAAAAAGAAAAAGTGGTGTTATATCCTATATTCGGGAACTAGAGCAAAAAGGGAGTAGATAGCGCCAAATACGAGAGTTTTGACTTAGATTTGCCTGAAGATTTCTTGCACAAGTCAAAAAGCATGAGTGTGACACCAGTTGCGTGAGAGTTAGCGAACTGCGTGCAATGCGTGTGTTTGCCTGTATCCCGTCGTGTAAATTGCATGCTGGCTTACCTGGCTGTGCCGCTGCTAGTATTAAACCGGTAGTGGCTGTTAATAAAGATTGTAACAGTAGTTTTAAAAGAGCTGTCATATAATTTAATTATTAATGTTGCGCAACCTTACTCCGCAAAACGTTTTTACCTAGCCTACTTCATGTGGGTCTGCTGCATCGAAAACATTTTTATGCTCTCAAGGGTTGTGGCGTTTGTAATACAAATTATCTACCGCCCCGCAAATAGGCCTATTATGTATGCCTATATATTTTTTTATGTTTGCCGTTTAATACACTTATTGTAATCCGATTGCCTGTGGTTGCTTTTAAAGCTGTGGTTGATGATTAACGTATTCTTGTCAAATATTTTTTATTTTTAAAGGTAACATATTTGGCATTGCAGATTCTTCTAGAAATAGTTGCCAAAGCGGGAGTGGGGGTCGTCTTATATTCTGGTCAATACCAGTGGCGGAGCTAGACTTTTATTTAAGGGGTGGCCAAAGGGTGAGCAAGCGTTTCTCAGAGGGGTCCATATAAATATGATAAATGAAGGAAAAACATATTTTTCTCGTACACACTCATAATAAACAATGAGTTTGTAAATGTTTGTTGAATAAACACAAAAAAACATTTACAAAATCATAAACACCAATCATAAAGACCAAGTCTAATCTAATTAATTAAATTAATGAATCTAGGCAGCTAATTAAACCCTCACATTACAGTATAGTGAAGTTGATTCAAAGCTTTAATATGACATGCATAGCCTGCTTACATGCAGTAGAAAACTAACGACTGGTTCTCCACATACACACCACACAGACTTCAAGTAAGTGCTAGTTTTGTTAAAATAATAAAACAACACTATAATTCAGCATGTGCACTAAAACATACATACGTACAAAGACGCTGTCTAAAAGACGATCTATATCAGCACGAGCAGGGCTCGTGGCTAATTTAAACTAGACATGGATCTGCAGACAGTGCGCGACGCTTTCATGCTGCTATTTTTTTATGTACTGCAAGTGTGTGACCACCTCTCATTAGGAAGGTAATACGGTGTAATATGTTATAAATACCTGCTTAACTCCTGCTGTTATCAATACCGCGGGTGTGTTTTGGATCGTGTAGGAACGCGTGCCACTGCCAGAGCTTTTAGCCAATGACATGTCAGTAAGCGGCACGCATAGGGTACTGCTGCGTCGGGATGCCCTCAGGGGCTCTCGGAAATTACAGTTTTCCGCTCAAATCTTTGCCCGATCTCCTCATTGGTATATTTTAATGTTTTTAGCTGGGTGTCACTGTGGTGGCAAGGGCTGTTTACCCACCCAGCAAAAAGATGTTGAAAAGATGACTTTGTCAGGGGAGCCTTTGGCTCCGCCCCTGGTCAATACAGTAATTGAACAAAGTGCAGCAGCATGTACCCCCACCCACCGACTCTTTTTATCCATTTAAACGAACAGTTCGATAGAATCAGGTTCTGTAAATTGAATCGAGCTTCCCACCAATAAATGGAACATAAGGAACCCACTGTTGATTATACATTTATTTATTAATTGGGAAGGAACGGGGGTCCTGTCGATGTTGGGATGGACGCCCCCCCTCCCCCATTTCTGACGCCCCTGGAATGCACACACCATTCCAAATGTACCATAGTCCAATATATCAAAACTTTGGTTCACGAAGTCAATAAGAGTCGACACTGCAGGTTTAATTATATGCAAGTCTAATATATTTTCCCCAAAAGCACTTTGGAATAGTCCTTAATACTCAATACTGAAAACCTAGGACATATATTCTCTTAATTATGTTTAGACAGTAACGCAAATTTCTTTCAGTTATTGTGCCATAACTCCTCCCGATATCAGTGACATTTTTAGGTTCTCAACAGTTCTGACTAATGCTGTATTTTGAAGCATTCCTGCAGTATTATAGTTATAAAGAACACTTTCTCTCATGTGGCAGTAAAGTAAGTTGTTGCATGAAGGGAATAATCAATTAATTGATTGACCCATCGATGTCAACTAATCAGGTGTTCTGGCGCCTTTTAAGGTCGAACTTAAGAAGCTCTCCCTTGAGCCATCTCGTAAGGCTATTTTTTATTTAGGAAAATTGTATTATATTTGATTCATTACTTCAAGCCCTTCAATATTTTAGTAAAAAAAATAGCTAGGGATTGTGAGATGAACATCGACTTACACAAAAGTTTGACAACACCATGTTTTTTTGTGCTTTCCAACAAGCTGTAGCTTAGTCATTTAGCTGAAATTGTTATTTTATAAAAAAAACAAGCTACAGCTATCTTTTTTATTTTGTTTTTTTGCTACCTGGGCTGTAGGAAAGGCTCTAGGCCTATATCTCAAAGGAAATAAATAAATAAATAAATAAACAAACAAAAAACATTTCCGAGCTAATGAAGGTAGGTGTAATTCACATGCCAGAATTTCATTAAAACTAAAAATGGTGAAAAACTTTTTGGAGATATGTTTAATTAAAATGGAATGACCCCCGTGTGTAAACAGTCAGGCAGCTGCTGGCTGATTTAGTAAACTCCCTGGGTGTCGTACTGTTCCGGGATCGGTAATAAGAGAAGTACAACGCTAGGGTTCGCCCCTATGCGGCATCTCGGGAAACCCCTTTTAGGTCAGTCTGCAGACGCCATTTTAGAAGAAGCGCGGGTAGTTCTGCAGGGGAAACTTTTAAACAATACGAGTGGACGTTCAAAGCAATATTATATCAGCCAGATAGTCAATATCAGCCTCTCATATTGTATTTATGTGATTTACTTTAACACAGAAGTAACTAAACTGAAGCTAGCTTTTTATATTTTGTTTTGGAAAGCGGAAGAAAGGAACGGTTGACGACTGAGACGGGCCTAGCTTGCCGATAAGCATCTGTAGAGAACATAACTACTTGTTGGGGGGCGATTAAAAGCTTGTCCAAGGTAATATTTTATATAAAAATGTTTTCGATTAAGAAACCGATGTGTATCTTGTATAAAAGTCTTTATTTGATATTAGGAAGCTAACTAGTGTCTTGAAAGTAGCTAAGCGAGTAGCTGGATAGTCATCTAAAGCGGTTTGCTAGCTGAAGTTTGACTTAAAAACCGCTAGCTGTAACGCGTAATATGTGACTAAATGCAGCTTAATATTATCCCGGGGTGTCGCATTTACGAACTAAGACGGTACTATAATACTGCAGTATACTAGCTAGCTTGTTAACTGCTCGGTAACTAATGTGCCACTTCTGCAGCTGATAATCTAGGTGATAGCATAGATGGGTGCTGCGTATTACTTATTTATATATATATATAAAAAAATTAACGTTTGAACTAGCTGGTTGGATAAACGTGAATGGGTTGTAAAACCAAACTTCGGGTACGTAGCCCCTCTGGTAGGATTTTCGTTGTGCATTTGATGAACTAATTTGGTCTTGGACTTAACACTAGGCCGTGATCGTTTATTCAGTCAGTGGAACTTTGCGAGATTGATAAAAGTAGCATTGCTGTATACGACGTTTTTTAAAATTTTACAATTCAAGCGAGTTCCACGAGTAACATTATGGTGAAGTTTAACCATAGATGTAATCAACCGAGGTGTCGGTTGTAATAACTGTGGCATAGGTGTATAATTGTCTTCACATCTTATTTCCTTTGCAGCCCGGAATAAAGACATGGCGGACGATTTTGATATTGAAGCTATGCTTGAGGCCCCCTATAAAAAGGTGAGTGAATTCATTGGTGATTCGCGTGGATGGCTCACTTCGCGTTGCACGTACAAGATTTCAGTTTCTCTCTACCCCAGAATCTTTCTTACACACATACATACATACACACATACATACACACATACATACATACATACATACATACACACACACACACACACATATATATATATATATCATAAAATAAGCTTTCTATCTGTGGAGGCGTTCTACAATTAAAGAATGGGGAAATGTACACTTTGTAAAGATGCCTGAAGAACTTTAACCTTTTGTCCTATGGTAAAGCATTGTTTTTTTTTTGTGAACTGTTGAAAAGTACAGTTGTAATTATTCATTGTATTGATGTATTGTGGTCCTTTAGGTAAGAAGAACCTTAACTTTGAACATCAAAAGCCAATTGCCACAAGGTGAATGAAATGGAGGACAGGGATATTTATTCTAACAGGCTTAACACTGAGATAGTATTCAAATATTGACTCGCCATACCTTTAGTTGCACCAGAATTTCCTATTATATTTGTGTGTAAAAAAAAAATAAAAAATCTGTAATGTAGTATAACTATACGTTGCATGACTAATAAAATGACTCTGCGTTATGAGTTTTTTCTTTCCCTTCTCAGCTTGTGACCAGTAACCGGTTATGTTTCAAAGCATCACTTTTGTAATGGGTAAATTGTCCCTATTTCACAAAGAAATATGATGTTGCTTTGGTGCTTTACATTTTTTTCCTCTCAGCATCACACATATAACATTTAAATGTTAATACTGTCCTAATCCATTTACAAGTTTTATACAGGAGTTTAGTTAAGTAGCCCTTAAGTACTTTTGCATGCCATAACATTTAAAAAAAAATAAAAATTTAAAAAAATATTTTGAACCTTGAACTCTAGTTTTTTTCATGCTCATACTAGTTACTTTTTTTTCATCTTTATAAAAAAAAAAAAACCTTTTAAATCACTTCCTAACAGGGACCATCTCCATGCAAAAATATCATGGGGTTGGATTTTGTTTCTTGGGTATTCATTTCTTGGGTGAAAGTTACTAAGCAGTGTGAATCCCTGTTTGCTTCAGGGCGAGATGTGTGACAGAGGTGACATCGAGCTCTTACAGTCTACGAACGAAAATGGGTGAAGATCACTGGAATGGCATCCACCACAGGAACTTGATTATTGGCTGGCTGCTAGCTTGGCCACCTTGGTTTTAGGCAAAGATAGCCTTGGTACTGACTAGGAGAGGTTGTGTTGCTAACCAAATATCCACTAAACACAACCTTGTGTAGCTTAAATCGCTAATTTTCCCGACAAACACTTGAAAGTCCAAATGGGTTGTTTATTATCACAATTGTATTGAAAGGAAAGTGGAAAATTTCACCTGGATGTCTGTAAAAGACCCGATTTCAAGTCTTAAAAATTCATTGCATGAATATTTAGTAAATGTTGTTCATTTTCTTTTGTTCCCATCCCCTTTTACCCTGATGGCTTGTCTATAAAATCTTCGTCTTCATGGTGTTCTCCTGTCGACCCTGCTTAGGATGAGGTCAAGCCTGCTAATGCCAATGGCCATGAGCAACGTAGTAAAAAGTGAGTACAACTTAAAGCATTTACCTTGATTTTATGTAGTTTGTCTTGGGTCTTACTAATGTCAGTAGTAATGTAATGTCATTTTGTTGTGAGGTTTTCACTTGCCATTGTCATTTCAGCGCATACAAAATGTGGCAGCTAGGGGTGGGGAGTTGGTTATGTTAAATCACGTTCAAGGTGGTGATTTTTAGATCACTGCAGGGCTTAAACTGACTTTTTAAAATTGATTTTTAAATGCAAGTTACTATAATTGTCAGTCACTTATGTTATTGGTAATACAGTGGTACCTCAGTTTTCGAACTCATTAGAACTCGAATTTCTTAAGTCGAACCAGCCAGTTGGAAAAATAATTACCTATACCTATAATCTCAGAAGTCAAACCGTGAATGGCAACCTAAGAACTTGTACGCGCGGGGAAATGAGTCACACGGCACGTCTCTCAGCGGAAACAAAGGGTAACGCTTCAGTCTCAGCCTTGCATTCGCTGTGATAGCATCGTGCATGTTTATACTAGCTCAATACAAATATTTAGACAGTAAAAACACATTTAGACAATGAGACAGTAACAGTAATTATTATATAATAAAATGCATTTAAAAATAATGATTTCTTATTCATTATTTTAATAATAATAAACCATTAATACATTTAATTATAATATTGTCGTGCCAAGCAAGGACGGAACAGAGACAAAGGCGCAGATGTCAGGGTATCGGGGAATGCGGGGTTTAATTACAGGTAAGGCAGGCAAAAACGCAGACGGACAATACAATGACCGGACTGGGGAAACAAACTGAAACACGGACTAAATACAGAGGACTAATGACAATAACAAGAAACAGCTGATCACACAGAGATTCCACACGGGGTTAGTGAGGGGGCGTGGCACGCGGAAGGCGCAGACGATCGGGGCAGGACACATTGTTTTTTTTAACTTTATACATTGTTTGGATACATTTATTTTCTTACTTTACAAATTACTGTTTTGATAAATGTACTTAGATGTGTTTAGTACAGTATTTGCTCTTGTTTTATCCGGTTCATTTTGTTTAAATGCTAAAAAAAAACATGTTTAGGTGTAATTTTTTGTGGCCGGGAACCAATTAATTGGTTTTCCATTATTTCTTATGGGGAAGATTCGATCACAACTCGAACTTTTTAGTATTTGATCCAGAGTTCTGAACAGATTAAATTTGAGTTCTGAGGTACCACTGCTCATGGCTTGATTTTGAGACCAACATGTACAAGTCTGGCACCATGTCATCATAAATGAGCAATTGTGTTTAGAGATGCTTCTAGCACTTTCTCAAATTAAATCCAGAATTAGGGCAAACTTTTTATTCTATAAAATAGACACCTGAACAGAAATATGGATGGCTGCAAAATTTGCTGCAGTAAAGTTAAATACCGCGGCAATACCGAGAGTTGTACCGATCCAATATTCGGATTGGTATCGGCACCAATCCATACCTATTAGACATATTGGTTATTGGCCGTATGTGACCACATCTGATACTTGAGTTTTTGGCAGCCTGTAAAAAGAGAGCTAATTTCTTGTTAAATTGATTTGTACAATCAATCGCATGATGGCTCTTTCCCATTTTAGATGTATTTTTGTGGTATTCAAGCTGAACACTAATGCTCTCACTCAGTTTTTTGCCACTCTGTGGGTGTGAGTGCAGTGACATTATGTGCAAACCCTTTGCAGTAGGAGGAGCGTAAGAACTTCAGATAAGAGGGTGGTGACTAGAAGTGTTTTAAGCATTTTACAGCAAGTAGTAGCACAGCGATGTGCAATGTTTGTAAAAACAGTTATGAGTGGTGGAAGTAGTGTTTGGTGAAAAATCCCACTAAAAGCGCACACAATTGTGCAAGACAATGTAATATGAGAAAAACAATAGATGATTTGGGAGTCGCTACCTTGTTTTGTGCACGTGCTACAGCTTGTGATATGCGAGGGACTGCTATTGCAACGAAGTGTAAGTGACACTGTTACCAGTAGGAGAACAATTTTGGGGCATTTTAAGAATTTGCCAGTTGCATATATGCATATATGTTTTTAGTAGTCAATTTTTGATATACATTTTTTCATTTGTATTGACTAAAAAAAATTAATATAAAAAAATTATATATAAAGTTATAAATATTTATATTATTAAACGGCTCTATCGGAATCAGATCAGAACTGAAAAAATTTGGAGTGGCTCATCCCTAGTAGTACCACTAACATTCACATGCTGCTTTTCGAATGTCACTGAGACTGACAACCACAAACTTACAGCCACATGTGCAAGGCGACCAAACCCTCAACACAACTTCAAACATCTTTCAATGCAGTAGTGACAGAGCTAATTGGATAACAGTCCTTTGTGTGTTTTTAGGATATTTTGTAGAGAATTTCATTTACTTTTAAAATCTCTGATTTAGTTTGCTATTGCAAGGTGTCTGTTCTCTTTATACCTTGCTTGTTCTCAGTAGCATACACACTGTATGCTGTAAAGATGGTTATTATGGTGTGGATGAGCAAATACCATATGTTTAGTTCCAATGCCTTATTTGCTAAGAAGCTGCTACTGCTGAAGGTGCTGGAATTTGTACTGAGCAATAATTGTAATGGCTAATTTAAAAGCTTTTGTGTTGAGTGGAGTCTAAAAAAAGGCAGTTAAATGTAAGAAGGGTCTACTTTAAATGTAGACCTGATATGCCCTTTAGCAAAAAGTTTAAATTGCAATTCCATTTTCTAAATTAAAATTATATCAAATCAGGAGTTCTCTGGCAATTTCCATCCATAGTGTTAATTTTGACGAAAAATTTTCGTCATAGTTATCGTCAACGACCTTTATTTTCAGACTAAAACGAGAACTAAAAAATGATTTTGGGAGGCCTAAGACTATGACGAAGTGTATTGACAATTTCGTCAACAAATAAAAACGAGACGAAAATCTTTGCCTGAGACGAGGTCCTGTACTATTTAGTGTGATATATATTTAAGTAGCCTATTAGTTGCATCAACATTGCATGTAATCAATACCTGACTGTCAAATCAAATTCAGTACAATTAAAAAACTTTTTGACAATATTTATTAACGTGACATACAACTGAACATGTATGTATGACTGCCAATATGTATGTTTTCTCATTAAATAAAAGTAGGGCTGCATTTCAAAATATGAGAAAATGTGAAAAGTGTGCATGTTTAAATAAAGTGCTTGACTTAAGCCCTAAAACCCTAATACAGTCGTGTTTGTCATTTTAGTGTTTGTTTTAACTATTGGTTTCCATAATCCCACACCAGTAATAAAATTAGTCTCGTTTTAATATAAATGCATACAAACCTATCACTTTAATTGCTATTAGAGTATAGGGCAGGGTTCTTCAAATCTGGACCTCAATTCCAAATCCAGGCCTTGTTTTCAGTTCTCCTGGATAGTTAGCTTAATAATTACTGATTCTGATTGGTCAGAGGCTTCACACCTGACTGACAGGTAAATGAAGACTGGAAAACCAGCAGTGCTCGGACCTCGAGGACCATGATTTGAATAATCCTGGTATAGGATATGGGCGGTCTTATTTAGAAAAGATATAAAACGTGATGTCAGACCTTAATACCATTCCTTAACATTGGTTTCATTTAGGGCTGCACGATTTATCGATTTCAAATCGAAATTGCGATTTGAAACGACGCGATTAGCAAGTCGCAGAAATCACGATTTAGGATATACATTACACAGCATGTCGGACCCAGGGTTTAAAACTGCTTTGAGGATAGTTATACAAATTCAATCCATGCTCCCTGTGTGACAGTCACTCACCAATCACAAGCGCTGTGCTTCTCGCGTGCCTATCATGCTCACCAATCAGAAGTGGCCCAAGAAGGCGTATAGGCCCACAAACGTCTAACACGTGAAACCCAAGGAAAATGTTACATTCGCGGTTAGGAAAAAAACTGATTCCGCTACTGAGCTATAAGTGAATTGCCTTCCTATTTCATGGTCCGAGATTGTTTCAGAAAGGCCCTATCATCAATAGAACCGGCGAGCTCCTTTTAAACACCAGCTGCGATATACTTCAGCGTATCATACCTTTGGTTTTTGTTAATAGGNTTGTTTGATCATCTGTATATATTGGATCTCCAACTGCTACAGGAAACCACTACAGTTATTTGTGTGATTTGGCATACCTTTCAGCACACAATACAGCGTGGCACGCGGGGGCGTGGCACGCGGAAGGCGCAGACAATCGGGGCAGGACATTGTTTTTTTTAACTTTATACATTGTTTGGATACATTTATTTTCATACTTTACAAATTACTGTTTTGATAAATGTACTTAGATGTGTTTAGTACAGTATTTGCTCTTGTTTTATCCGGTTCATTTTGTTTAAATGCTAAAAAAAAACATGTTTAGGTGTAATTTTTTGTGGCCGGGAACCAATTAATTGGTTTTCCATTATTTCTTATGGGGAAGATTCGATCACAACTCGAACTTTTTAGTATTTGATCCAGAGTTCTGAACAGATTAAATTTGAGTTCTGAGGTACCACTGCTCATGGCTTGATTTTGAGACCAACATGTACAAGTCTGGCACCATGTCATCATAAATGAGCAATTGTGTTTAGAGATGCTTCTAGCACTTTCTCAAATTAAATCCAGAATTAGGGCAAACTTTTTATTCTATAAAATAGACACCTGAACAGAAATATGGATGGCTGCAAAATTTGCTGCAGTAAAGTTAAATACCGCGGCAATACCGAGAGTTGTACCGATCCAATATTCGGATTGGTATCGGCACCAATCCATACCTATTAGACATATTGGTTATTGGCCGTATGTGACCACATCTGATACTTGAGTTTTTGGCAGCCTGTAAAAAGAGAGCTAATTTCTTGTTAAATTGATTTGTACAATCAATCGCATGATGGCTCTTTCCCATTTTAGATGTATTTTTGTGGTATTCAAGCTGAACACTAATGCTCTCACTCAGTTTTTTGCCACTCTGTGGGTGTGAGTGCAGTGACATTATGTGCAAACCCTTTGCAGTAGGAGGAGCGTAAGAACTTCAGATAAGAGGGTGGTGACTAGAAGTGTTTTAAGCATTTTACAGCAAGTAGTAGCACAGCGATGTGCAATGTTTGTAAAAACAGTTATGAGTGGTGGAAGTAGTGTTTGGTGAAAAATCCCACTAAAAGCGCACACAATTGTGCAAGACAATGTAATATGAGAAAAACAATAGATGATTTGGGAGTCGCTACCTTGTTTTGTGCACGTGCTACAGCTTGTGATATGCGAGGGACTGCTATTGCAACGAAGTGTAAGTGACACTGTTACCAGTAGGAGAACAATTTTGGGGCATTTTAAGAATTTGCCAGTTGCATATATGCATATATGTTTTTAGTAGTCAATTTTTGATATACATTTTTTCATTTGTATTGACTAAAAAAAATTAATATAAAAAAATTATATATAAAGTTATAAATATTTATATTATTAAACGGCTCTATCGGAATCAGATCAGAACTGAAAAAATTTGGAGTGGCTCATCCCTAGTAGTACCACTAACATTCACATGCTGCTTTTCGAATGTCACTGAGACTGACAACCACAAACTTACAGCCACATGTGCAAGGCGACCAAACCCTCAACACAACTTCAAACATCTTTCAATGCAGTAGTGACAGAGCTAATTGGATAACAGTCCTTTGTGTGTTTTTAGGATATTTTGTAGAGAATTTCATTTACTTTTAAAATCTCTGATTTAGTTTGCTATTGCAAGGTGTCTGTTCTCTTTATACCTTGCTTGTTCTCAGTAGCATACACACTGTATGCTGTAAAGATGGTTATTATGGTGTGGATGAGCAAATACCATATGTTTAGTTCCAATGCCTTATTTGCTAAGAAGCTGCTACTGCTGAAGGTGCTGGAATTTGTACTGAGCAATAATTGTAATGGCTAATTTAAAAGCTTTTGTGTTGAGTGGAGTCTAAAAAAAGGCAGTTAAATGTAAGAAGGGTCTACTTTAAATGTAGACCTGATATGCCCTTTAGCAAAAAGTTTAAATTGCAATTCCATTTTCTAAATTAAAATTATATCAAATCAGGAGTTCTCTGCCAATTTCCATCCATAGTGTTAATTTTGACGAAAAATTTTCGTCATAGTTATCGTCAACGACCTTTATTTTCAGACTAAAACGAGAACTAAAAAATGATTTTGGGAGGCCTAAGACTATGACGAAGTGTATTGACAATTTCGTCAACAAATAAAAACGAGACGAAAATCTTTGCCTGAGACGAGGTCCTGTACTATTTAGTGTGATATATATTTAAGTAGCCTATTAGTTGCATCAACATTGCATGTAATCAATACCTGACTGTCAAATCAAATTCAGTACAATTAAAAAACTTTTTGACAATATTTATTAACGTGACATACAACTGAACATGTATGTATGACTGCCAATATGTATGTTTTCTCATTAAATAAAAGTAGGGCTGCATTTCAAAATATGAGAAAATGTGAAAAGTGTGCATGTTTAAATAAAGTGCTTGACTTAAGCCCTAAAACCCTAATACAGTCGTGTTTGTCATTTTAGTGTTTGTTTTAACTATTGGTTTCCATAATCCCACACCAGTAATAAAATTAGTCTCGTTTTAATATAAATGCATACAAACCTATCACTTTAATTGCTATTAGAGTATAGGGCAGGGTTCTTCAAATCTGGACCTCAATTCCAAATCCAGGCCTTGTTTTCAGTTCTCCTGGGTAGTTAGTTTAATAATTACTGATTCTGATTGGTCAGAGGCTTCACACCTGACTGACAGGTAAATGAAGACTGGAAAACCAGCAGTGCTCGGACCTCGAGGACCATGATTTGAATAATCCTGGTATAGGATATGGGCGGTCTTATTTAGAAAAGATATAAAACGTGATGTCAGACCTTAATACCATTCCTTAACATTGGTTTCATTTAGGGCTGCACGATTTATCGATTTCAAATCGAAATTGCGATTTGAAACGACGTGATTAGCAAGTCGCAGAAATCACGATTTAGGATATACATTACACAGCATGTCGGACCCAGGGTTTAAAACTGCTTTGAGGATAGTTATACAAATTCAATCCATGCTCCCTGTGTGACAGTCACTCACCAATCACAAGCGCTGTGCTTCTCGCGTGCCTATCATGCTCACCAATCAGAAGTGGCCCAAGAAGGCGTATAGGCCCACAAACGTCTAACACGTGAAACCCAAGGAAAATGTTACATTCGCGGTTAGGAAAAAAACTGATTCCGCTACTGAGCTATAAGTGAATTGCCTTCCTATTTCATGGTCCGAGATTGTTTCAGAAAGGCCCTATCATCAATAGAACCGGCGAGCTCCTTTTAAACACCAGCTGCGATATACTTCAGCGTATCATACCTTTGGTTTTTGTTAATAGGCTATAGCATTAGTATACCGCTAACCCATCAAAACATTGAGACAGTAACGGCGGAGTCGGTGAGCTCCTAAAAAGCCGTAAAACCAACAATACAGTCGTGTTTATGTCATGTTTTTTTGCTTATTAAATTAGTGTTTCCAAAGATTAATCCCACAACCGTAATAAGAAATCTTTCTTTAACATAAATACTAAAAGAATAGATCGCTTTAATCGCTATTACAGTTGGATATGGGCACGCGGTCTTATTTAGAAAACATACAAAAAGAGACTCATAAAGGCTAATGTTTAATCATTCGTTTTGTATTTGTCCGAGTAACAAAGCAAAGGAATGATAATTAAGCTGCTTCAGTCAAACTGCATTTTACTTCTCATTTAAAATAAAATTCAGGGTTGGCAACTTTGGTCAGCTGCATGGAGTGATTTTCTGTTCTCTGTTCTGCACACACATTTACATGTATAAGTTTTATTACCTTGCAAATAGTCTGTAGGGTTTACAAACTGCCGTAACGTTTTTGATGCAGCTAATTTTAAGTTCAGAATAAAATATAGATTTGCCGTAAGAATTCTTGCGTGAGTGTCTGAAAGAGTTTGCACCCATGAACACGTAGATATTTTTTGTTTCACCTGAATTGATTTATATAGAAAATAACCATATACAGTTTGAAAGCGGAAACTTCGACCAACATGAAATCACCAATAAACGACTTCTATTCAACATTTTATAAAATGCATACTACGTTTAAAAATTTCCAGCTTTACGGTTTCAGGACAGAACAGCCACTCTGTTATGAACATTAGTTTTTTTGAGTGTTATTAGTGTTAATAACAGCAACTAACAACATAATAGCGCAAACAAAAGGGCTGCATACACCGAAGTAGTTCTTGTTTGTTCATTGGCGTGGGAAAAGGCGGTTCTAGTGTTATTAGGATGGTAATACGCGTTACCTGCAAGATCGCTATTTTTCTTTTTGCTGCAATTGTTTTCATTATTACTTTATTTAACTTGACACATCACATCTTTAAATTCTCATCCTT